AATCCTAACATACCTGAAGACGACGACAGAGAATTAGCTGAGGCGGAGGCGGAGATTCTGAGGCGGAGGGAATCGGAGCGAGTTCGAGTTTGTTGGCGGAGGATGAAGGAGGAGTCGCGGCGTGAAGTGAGGAAGAAGAGGTGAGGGGGAGGAGAGAGTGCGGTGGCGACTCGGTGAGTGGACATGGAGGTGATTCCGATGCCTATCTTTGGTGACGCAGCCATTTTTTTTTTTTTTTTTGCTTTCTTCGACTTTACTGAGACCATACAATTTGAAATTTTCATTTCTGGTTTGGTAGGCGATTGTTTTACACGCGCTGTAGCATTATCTCTTCGCTCTCGAAGTCCACATGATTCAATGGTTATGAGCCGTCGGATTTGTTGATCGACGGTGAGTATGTGTGTTGGGTGATTTTTACTTGGTCTTTTCAACGGAGGGAGGAGGATAAGCCAATCGCATTTTTTGCTAAGTGGAAGGCTGATCAAAGGCTTTTAATTTGTTGGGCCGTAAATGGGCCTTAGGTATTGTGGTTTACCTTTTGTGTGTGATTTATGTTTTGCTTTACGAGAGTCAGCTACGAACCTGAAATGACCACTCAAAAGTCACACTTTCTTTATCGAGATGAACATTTTGAAAAGTATTTGACACAAGCCCAATTTAGATGAAAAGCCCATTAACTCTCTTCTTCACCTTTATTATTTTTTTTTTGACAACGGCTGATAAAACAACAGAAAATATTTAATATTTTAGTGGAGAAAAGGAAAAAATGACAATCTTCTTCACCCTTTTATGAGAGCAACTTTGGCAGTTTTTGCCCATCTTGGTGCATGCATATGTTTAGCATAGGTTTACATTTATACAATTGTCCTAAGGTAATTAATCTTATTATAATCTCGTGTTAAGAAAGTAGAGACTCATGCCTTGAAAAAACAAGACGACGAATAAAATGAAGGGAGGGATTAATAATGTTGTGTTAAGAAGACAAAATTCGTTCTTAAAGTAATTAATTTACGAGTCCTTGACGTTGACTCACCACCAAGTAGGTGTGATTCGGGCCGAGTGAGTTTATATAACTATTGTCTAGTTAAGGTGAGATATCATATAATCATTGAATATGTACCAAAGAAAATATATATTTATTTATTTGTAATCACATTTTGAAAAAACAAAACAACTAATTAGTTTTTTTCTATATATATAAAATGGAACATCCAGGGTTTCGGATGAAGCAGGATACACGGCGTGTGTTCTTCTCGTTCATCTTCTTTATATAAACAAAGAGACTTCATCAAGAGAGAGACACATTTATGGTGGTGCTCAGAGGTTGCCGGCGACTTTTGCGATCACATTCTTCACGGCGAGTTAGACTTAAATCGCCAATAGGTAACGCTGCTGTATTTTATTTAAATACACACATTCACTAAGTTTTCTGCTTGCTTGTTTTATGTTGAAAATTGAAAAAACTAAACTGATATCACACTCTCATCATGAAAATTGTGAAAAATCATGTGTGACTATGTCTCAACTTATGTGCAGGTTACAATATTTTCTGTCTTCATCTTGGTCAACGAGGTCTCTAGATGGATTCCATTAAAAGCCATGAAGAACCAATATTTCCAACCAGTTCCTCTTTCAGTGGACAGGCCAGTGCAGGCACTTTTTTACCGGTATCACGTAGCTTGCCTCTCACGTTTAACAATGATTCTTCTGCCGATAGTGATAGTGTCTCAGAGGCTGGAGATACTGGTGATCGCTCACTTCAGAGAAGGCATTCACATCAAAATGTATTACTTGATCACCATCCAGCCTTGAACACAGCTTCTGTAACCAAACCTTTTCCTGTGGACATAACTAAATCTCCTTTACCAACCGAGTTCCTCTTGTCACCTGATACATACGACTCGGTAGAGAACCATCTCTAACTTCTTATAGTATTGATTTTTTTTTTCTCAATTCAGTGCTTTGGTTTATGATATAGGGAAAGGAGGTGGTAGAGCCTGTGTTACCAAAGTCCTTGGAATACATATCTTGCCTTACTCATTTGGCTGTTTTTGGGATTCTTGGGGTATTGTTTCCGAGGCTTTACTCATGATTTCGTGTTCTGTTTTGGGTGTAACTCATTGTATACAAACGAACAGGCTGTTACGAGATATCTGCTGCAGAAACTGTTTGGACCAAGTGTTGCTCAAGTAACCAGCGATGGGAGCATCTTGTACCTTGATCTTCCTGCCAACATGGTAGGATCATTCTTGATGGGTTGGTTCGGCGTTGTATTCAAAGCAGATATAACGAGAGTTTCTGAGTTTCTAGCGATAGGATTATCCACTGGTTACTTAGGAAGCCTCACAACATTCAGTGGTTGGAACCAGAAGATGCTGGACCTTAGTGCTGATGGCCAATGGTTATACGCTGTGCTTGGCTTCCTCTTCGGATTGTTTCTTGCAGGATACTCTATCATTCTCGGTGTAGAAACAGCCAAAGGTTTCAGATGGCTTCTCAACAGAAGAGCTTCTGAGAAGAAAAAATCTTCTCTCAAGGCTAACACCTATAGGAGCTATATAGTGTCTATGATCTTAATGCTTACCCTGCTTGTGACTGTACTTACAGCTAGTGTCACTCTGCTTGTAAAAGAGTTTGACAAAGGAACAAGCGAGGCTCAACTATGGTTAGGTTGTTTAGTTGCAGCCCCTGGTGTCTGGATCAGATGGTTCTTAGCCAGACTTAATGGACGTGGACTGGGAAAAGATGGACAGTACTTGAGGTGGATCCCATTTGGTACCCTCATTGCAAATGTAGGTGCAGCTTCTGTCATGGCAGCTTTGGCCACGTTAAAGAAATCGGTATGAACTAACTCTTTGTCTCCCTCTCTATAAGGAACAGATCACAGAATAACATTCTCTCTGCTTATTTTGAAAAACAGGTGGACACGCCAACATGTAACACAGTTGCCTCTGGAGTACAGTTTGGTCTGTTAGGATGTCTGAGCACAGTTTCCACCTTCATGGCTGAGTTTAATGCGATGAGGGAAAGTGATAAACCATGGAGAGCCTATGCTTATGCATCTTTCACAATTGCAGTTTCTTTTGCAATGGGAACTATTATATACTCAGCCCCTGTTGGGTAGTAATCTAATTTTGAAGATTATATTTGTCAACGTTGTAAGATCAAAACCTTTTTTGTACTACAATAATGTAACCTTTTTCCTGTTTAAAATAAAATATAATGATTCTATATTCCACACTACAAAACACACAAACCACTGACAAAAACCTGTACACACTCATGCTTTCAGACCATTGCCACACTTCTCCCATAAGAGAGATTAAAAGGAGATGTCAAGTCGACAAATTCATCTCACTGACAAGGAGAATCAGACAAACAGAAAGACTAAAGGGAACGGTTCACTTCTCTTGAGGGAGGTAGCTGTATGTGGAACAGCTTGTCTCTGTCTTTGTCACCTACAGAACGAAGACAGACAATAATAGGACTTCATGAGTATAAGTTGTAGTAAAAAAATCTTGTCTCTGTAGGAAAATTATATGAAGATAGATAAGTGAATACGAACCTCTGAAGTATGAGAGGATCCTGGGAGAAGAAATGGTGTCCAGAGAATAGGGTCTCCGAGAGGATCCAAAGTATTGTAGTTGGTGAGCAATGGAGCAGTTAATAAAGAGGTAAGTGGGTACATACTTTTCTGAAGAGACAAAGCAGTAGCAGGAACACCACCACTGCCTAGACCAACTCCGTGACTCACAACCGGTTTTTCTATCTCCTTTCCGTGACTCTTCTCCATATTGATGATTTTACGATTTGCATTCTCATCGTTTTCTCTAGTGCTGCTGCTTTCTTGGATCTTTAGCACTTTCTCCTCAAGGCTCTTGTAAGCAGGTGACGCAGACAAAATGCTTAAAGCAGAAGCCGTGGAGGATGGCGATGATATTTGTTTTTCTTTTCTCTGAGTGTCACGAAGGGGGCCAAGATTTGGCGCTTTGAATGGCTCTATTGCCTGGCATGTTTGTTCCAGTGTTTTAAGCTCAGTACCGGGATCTTCTACCTTTGCATCTTCTGATGCTTTTGATGAAGATTCAGGTTGACGGGGTTTGTTGACCCCCCACCACTTTATGTATCCTGTTAGATCGATCTTTCTATCCAGACAAAAGTTACCTAGAAAGTCACCTTCTGTTCCTCGATCATCACCTAATGAGAAAAAAAAGTTTAGCATGGTCTCAGTGCAGGCTGTGCAGCTACAAAGATGGGTCAATGTTGTATGAAACTTACCATAATGAAAGTCGCTGAAGTATTCAGGTCCCGGCATACGACTGGCTGATGCTTCCCATCGGCTGGTCAGGAATTGCAGAATAGTTGGAAAAAAAACAGCAGAGATGCATATCAGGTACAACAAAAAAAACTAAAGAAGGTTACAGCCAAAACACAGCAGGTCCAGCAACTCTGAAGATAGCTTGGCCATATCCCAATTACCTAAGAGTAGCATCTAAACACTTCTTATGAAATTACATAGTCTACAGTATGTCCATCAATCAAACTGTGAAAATCCATAATGTATCACTAAATAATCTTCCTAATAAGCACTATGAAATCAACAGAGATAAGTGACTCTTGATTCAATTGTTTTAAGAGAGATAGTAGGTCAAGTATTACCTTTGAAGTCCACGATATTTAGCTATTCCCCTTGAAAAACCGCTGCTTTTTCTGCCAAAGGGATATCTGAATAGTCTCAGCAATAAATGGTTCGTTAGAGAAAGAAATTATACTTGTAAAATACACACACACCTACGTAGAGATGCAAGGTACTCTTCCCTTGAAAGATTTTGCATTTCTTCTAAATCTCTGCTGTAATCCGTCACCTATGAGAATGTAAGAGGTAAGCTGTGTTCATTGGAAGGGTGGCTCTAAACACCTATAACCTCAAATCTTAAAAAGCATACTAGCACAGCAATCTCACCGGAAAATTGATAAGAGTCCCAGGTCCCCAATATTTCAAGGCAGCAAGGTCGTAAGCTCTAGCAGCAGCCTCTTCATCATCATATGCTCCTGCCAAGTATATAGGTAGTTGGTTTTTAGTCAAAGTAATCCAAACTGTGTTCCGATATTAAAAAAAACACAATCAATACCTCCAAAGCTTTTAGCTTACCTAGATAAACTGGTGGAGCGATAATGGCATCAACCATGAAAATATTGAAAGAAAAAAAACAAGAAAGAAAGAGATGAGCTTTTATAGTTTAAACAAGAGAGAATAAAATTTGTCAGATAAAAAAAAAGGTAGAACCTTGTTTGCCCTTCTTGTTCTGGTTTTGGTTCCAAGTAGTCTTATCCCAAAGGTGAGCTTCATAACGACCTGTCCATCTATGCCTATACTCAAAAAACCAAAATTTAAGACACTTCAGACATCTCCTACTGCTAATGAGATATAGAATCTCTCAGACTCTGCATTCAACTCTTGAGTCACTGACACATGTTGCCCCAACAAAATCTAATAATAAGTGGAATCTCTCATTAATTTACTATTCGCAATTCAAAAATCGAATCTTACCCTCTAATTCAAGATTAGAAGGTAAAATAGCAAAAGTACCTGGTGACTCCACGGTAAATGGAGCTCCTTTTGCCAGCTGTACAAGGAGGCATTTTACTGATACGCTCCTTAGCAGTGCAGCCTCTCTCCTTCTTCGCCTTTTTAAAACCTCTATACAGTAACATCTCATCACTCGCCGCCACTGTCTCCGAGCTCTCTCCTCCTCCTCCTCCTCCCGCCTCTGTCTTAGGCCCCTGATCCGACGACGCCATCAGACGCCACTCTCACAAACCTCTTCCTCCTCTCCAACCAAATACACAAACCCTAGGAAAGGCGAAAGCAAAAAACCGAGCTTGATACAGTAAGAAGCAAAGAGAGAGTGAGAAAAAGAAAGATATAAACTTTGACTACTTCTTCTTCTCTTTTCACCGAATACAATGCTAATCTATTAATATCAACGGCCAAAATAAAATAAAATTACGGTCATCAGATTTACCATTACGTCCCGGTTTTGTTACCCTTTTCAACGATGCGGAAGATAACAAACTACAACGGCTATGAACGGAGGCGAGGTTGTTTTCGTCATTTGAGCAGAATAGGTTTTTGTTAAGCTGACGTGTATTAATGATCTCCACGTGTACATGGTGGTGCTGACATTTTAATGTGGGGGTGTTTCCCAACACTAGCCTCGTTCATGGAATATTCTCTGTATGTTTACACTCACTATGTTGTTGTTTTTCTTGGTTTTATTATCCAACCTAGCTTATAGTTTGCAAAATATTCAAATCAGTTCTATTGTTTTTTTTATCATATTTGATTCTTCATATTTTCTACCGTTGCAATGTCTTTTTACACATCGAATCTCTCCATTATATTAAATCGTAGTTCAAAATTTCAAATGATTTTGATTTTAATGGACAGAAAGAAGATTACACAGGTTTACAGAACATCATAATCTATATACAATTGGGAACTTACAATGTGCCTTTGTGTCTATGAGCTTTTACTCACATCACCACCAGCTCCTTTGTTTCTCAGTGATTCTATAGGGATTACCAACAAAAAGGAAATGAAATGTGATTCTTACGTTAGCCTCACCAGAAGTTTATGTAACTTTATATTCAGCTCACCTAATTTTTGACGTATTAGGGGCTCGAACTCGATCCCTGCACTCCTTTCACCAAATGAAATGATGTCACGATACATTTGTGTTGAAGGTTGAATACCAGCATCACTCATCCATTCCAAAACCTGCATGCAACTCATTCATAAGATATCAATTTTTTTTCTCTGAACCGCAAAACTTGCTCGGTCACTATTGATCATCAGGATATTACTAATGGTAACTAAAATTATTAAAACAGAAGTAGTTACCTCAATGTATTTTCTCCAGTTTCCAACGGCTAGAAGATGTTCTAACAATACTGCATAAGTCTTGAGGTTGATTTCAACACCAGATGCTATGATCTTATAGAACAGCTGCCATTGTTCAAATAGTTCGGTTAAAAAAATCGTCATATTTGATTTTCTGTAACGAGAGTATGTGCTTAGTCTAATTAGCAGATAAACTAAAGTTTTTTTTTGCACCTTCATCATAGCTTCGACTTTACCACTCTTCCCGAAAAGATGCAGCATCTGATTAGTTAAGCCGATAGAAAGTGATGGCAGGTACGGTTCCATCATTTGGATGAGGTCTGTCGCTCTTTTCCATTCCTGCAAGCTGCAAACATTGAGAGAAGAAGATGAGAACAACGATAAGTAGAACGGAGAAGAAGATTTATTATTTGTAATGTACGAGCGTTAGTATACGTGTTACAAGCCGAAAAGATCTCAAAGAAAACTGCTCCAGTGAAGGGAACTTCCTTTTCCCGCATCAAATCCATTAGGATGAAGACATTTGACGGTTGACCTCCCTTGTTGAAAGCTCTCATCAAAGCTGAACATGCAATAGAGTCTGGATCCACTCCATTTGCTTCCATCTCCAGGAAGAGTTCACAAGCTTTCTCCCACTTTTCTGGGGGAAAGAGAAGCATTCCAAGAGAATTCAGATCCATAGTTACGATTTTTCAACAGTCTTACACTTATGTGTGTATATATACCTGAAGCGTTGTAAGCATGGAGCATTGAAGTGTACGCAATCACATCAGGTTCGCACCCAGCCATCTTCATCTGGTTGAATATGGATTCTGCTTCTGTAACTTGGCCCTGCAGATGTTATCACAAGTTATTGACAGTCAAACCATACAACAAACAGAGAACATCTTCTTCTAGGCTCAAACTCTAAAAAACTTGCCTGTTTGCTGTAAGCACATAGAACAGAAGAGTACACCTCCTTCGTCATTGGAATACCTAAATCTTCCATATCCTTCAAGTAACTAACTGCTTCAGGGTATTTCGACATCCTACATGAACCACTTATAAGGATGGTGAAAGTAACAGAATCAGCTTTGACTTTCTTTCTTTTCATAGTCTGATACAATGCAATGGCCTTCTCAAGTTCTGCACCGTTTATGAAGCTTCCAATAGCTGAGTTATACGCTGCAGTATTGAGCTTGATACCTCTCGTCTCTGCTGCAGAGAGTACCGTTTCAACATTCACCTTTTTCCCGGACCTACTACAAGCAGCCAAAAGAGTGCATACTGAAACAACATTTGGCTTAAAGCCGTCTTGCTCCATCTGTCTGAAGATTCCCACAGCTTCAGCTAGAAGTCCATTAGACCCATAAGCATCGATCAGTGCATTGTAAGTAACAACATTAGGCTTTCTCCTGTCCTTCCTCATCATGAGAAACACCTCCTTAGCCTTTCCAGGCTGACGTGATCTTCCATAAGAATTGAGTAAGCATGTATAGGAGACAACATCAGGGAGTATACCATTCCGCTTAATTTCTTGAAAAACCGAGAGAGCGTTTTCACTCATTCCATGAACAGCATATGCACCCATCAAGGCATTATAAGAAACAATATTAGGCTTTAGACCTTCTGCAAGCATGGCCTCGAACACGGCTCTGCAGTGTTCAATCTCTCCCCTGACAGAGTATAAATGCATGATGCTAGTAAACGTCACTACATCAGGCCGGCACTCAGATCTCTTTTCCCGCATTGAGTTGAAAACATCGAGGGCTTGGCTGCTTTGACCAAGCTTTGATAGGCAATAGATGATGATGTTAAAAGTGGTGGTATCTGGACGAACTTTAGCTCCCTTCATGAGCTCAAAATAAGATAACGCTTTGGAATACTGACGACCACTCTTGTATGCAGACAAGACGATGTTGTGAGTCACTAAATCTGGTCCAACTCCGTTATCTGTCATTTTCTTGCATACTTCCAAAGCCTCTCTCCAGTTTCCACTGGACCCGCAAGCATTGATCAGATTATTGTAGGTTGAACGACTAGGAGCAATCTGCAAGACCAAAGAAGGGTCAACACCGTGTATTAAGCAACACTGAAAAGGTCCAAAATCGTTAAACTGGTGAGAAAAATTAAAAAAATGATAGGTTCAAGAGATGTTTCATCAATGTTAGGCAACAAAAAAAAGCCAAAAAAAAATGTTTATGCAGAGATTGAAAAGATTTTACACCAAAACGAAGTTCCCTGGCCATTAAGCAACACTTACAAAAACTAAGAGCCTCGCTAGAGACCTAACTCAACCAAAACGATTAAACAGGAGTTAAGCAAAGTTACACACAGATGCACGTAACATGTCATCCATAAGATTCATAGCCCAGCGCCAGTGACCAGCTCGACCATGAGCATTGATAAGAGCATTGTACGTCTCAGCATCCGGTTTACAACTACAAACCATACCAGAAACGTTTTCAATCAATGAATTTTCCATGAAACTCCTTTGTTTCTAAACACATACCTCCATTTTTGCATCTCAAAGAAGAGACCACGAGCTTGATCAACTCTGTTACACCTAGCATGGAGCCTAATCATCATATTGTAGATATCATTCCTCGCACAGTAATTCTTCTGATTCTTCATCCAATTGAAAACATTCACACAAAGCTCAATGCATCCTCTTCTACTCAGCTCCTGCAAGTTTCAAACAAAATCAAACTCCAACTAAATTGATTTCAAAAATTCATCAACCAATCAATTCACGAGTTTATTATAAGCTTCCAACTTAAAACGAATTGCCTATAACTTTATTGGTCCAGCACTTGTAAATATTAGTTAGTTTTTTTTTTTGAACACCAAATATTAGTTCGTTAATTTTTTTTTCACTCACTAACAGTTTAAACCAATGTTCTAATTAGAGCAACATTATCGGTCGTTCTTTAGCGTTGTCCCTTATCGGGAAAGTCCCTTAGCTTTTAACTAAAAACGTTAAGGACATCCGTAAAGTCCAGCCTAAATTTCTTTATTAAGCTGAAGCTATAAATCAATTTAATTCTAAAATGACTTTTTAAATGAACTGGTTTAGGCGGTTAGAACCAAACATACACTGATAAGAATTGGAAAATTCTTCCGAGCGAACCGGCCAACCCAACAATTGAGAACCACATCAACTCCTTCCCAACGATTGAGAGCCATAAGCCGGTTCACGACCTCCGTCACACTCCAATCCTTCTGAAACCGGTCGTTCTCAACCCGAACCCGGTAGCGTCTCGCGATATCCGCTTTCCTGAACCCGCTGACCCGGACAGAGACCTCGTGCTCCCCTCTGTCGTAGTTCACGTACACGGATTTCTTCTCCTGGAGTGCTTCGGAGGTCTTCGGACGATAGGCGCGGGAAGATTCCGGCGGAGTGATGAGCTGAGTAACCGTTGCCATGTTCTTTCGATGGATAGAGTGATAAGCATTACTCTTATGGCTCTATATATTAAAGCCCATTTTCGATAGTTCCTGGCCCATTTTGTAGTATGCTAAAGGCCAGGTTTGATAATTTATAGGCCCATTTTTAATATTTATTTTGTCATGTTGGTTACATATTAAGAAAGAAAAGTTAAATAATATGATAGCTAGTGAAAATGGAGTTTTCATAGTTTAGTAGAGTTGAGACTTTTGTATAATATGTATAGTATATCCTTGTTAGTGTAAACAGTTCATCCTATTTTTATAATTATTCAACTTCATACATATGGTTTTTGTATTTTTTTCCCCCTGTATTAACCTTGATTTGAAGAAATTATAACTACAGACTAAAATTTTATTATTTCAAATAAATAATAAAAATGATATGAATGTTACATCATATGTATAGTTTTCCGTATAAGATTTGATAACTCCTTGAATTATAAAATGATATGAAAGTACATCATATATCTCGACTTTTTTTATTAAAATTTATATTTAATGGATCTATTTCGGAACCTTTAACAAAATCAAGATCAGAATTTTATGGAAACAAAAAGTAATGAGATACAAAAAAAGAAAAAAAAAGTGAAGTCAAAATATCTCCAGAAAATACCGGTTTGACGATAATAAAAAGTCATAATAAATTCCATAGCTACTTGTCCTAAAAAAAGCAAATAGGGTAATTCTTCCAAAACAATAAAATATTATGATCGGGACCGTAGCCGTAGCCGTATAAGATTTGATAACTCCTTGGACTACAGAAAAAAACATGTTTTAGGAAGAGCAACCACAAAAGACTTTTTAAATCCTCAGATAATGTTGAGAGAAAAAAAGAAGAGAATATAGTATTAATTTCTTGATGCACAAGAACATTTGACTATTCGTATTTTCTTGTGTCCCAAACATATTTGGTAGGTTCCTCAAGTATGTGTCCCTCTATATATATCCACACATACATCAATAATTTTACGATTCATCAAAGTTCCAAAGCAACATAAGCGAAAATGAAAAAGGAAGGTCGTCAACACGGCTTCGTTCGGACCGGGATGATTCATCCGTCAGGATTTAATCCAAGTCCCTCAAACCAATTCGTGAACCGGCTTGGTTCACCTCCCGCTTTTGGAGTATTTACCAAAGTGCCATCAACACCAACCAATCATTCAAAATTCACCGGAAAATATGAGCGTGCCAAGTACAGTAATTGTCATGTGTTGCCGGCTACAAAGTCTGCAGACAAAACTAAGGGTCGCCAAAAGTTAAAATCGACAGATTGGTGGGTTGATGGTAAGTTAGACCGGCTCACTGGGTCGGATGCGTCTTCTGCTAGTGATATTTTGGATACATTATGTGGTGAAGAGTATGGTGGTCATCATGTTTATGATGATGATGCTGATTGTTAATCATTTCATCAAGAAACTTGAAAGTTGTTGTTTTCTTATATGCTTGAATTGGAAAAACATATAAGAAAGTTGTTGTTTTCTTATATGCTTGAATTAGGAAACATATGTAATACTTGTTACGAAAAAATGATAATTTGATTAGAATGATAATATGCAACAGTAAGTTATTTGGTAAAACGATACGTAAAACATGGGCAAGGGCCCAAACTTGAAGTATTTGATTCATTTCCCACGTGATAATAAATATACTTATTTCAGTAATCCTCTCTATATCCCTCTGAGTGATTTAGGAAATGTTCATTACTGAGAAGATTATGGAAACAAAAATCAAAAGGCGTTACTCTTGATCATTGTATTGACCAGATGTGAATATATCTAAATAAAGCAACCCATTCTCTCAATTGCTTTACTTTGGAACAAATCAATTGTTACTTGTGGCTAAATTTTTAGGGATGTTTAGTATGTTGTGAAACATGTCTAGTGGTATATGAAACAAAATTGGGAGCATTTGGTACTAAAAAACTAGTTCAAGTGTCTGCTCTACTCAAGAACATAACTAAACTATGTCTACACATTACACAAAGCAAACCACTTATAACTATATTGATAAAATTCTGTGAATTTTAATTGAGAACAAAAACACTTAGAATTAGCTAGGTTCCATCAACTGAAATGTGTGTACTGCCTTCAGTTATTTATCCAAAGAAATAATTAGTGTTTACATTTTCTTTCTTATGTATACCATTGTAGTTTTGATTACTAAATGCTAGTGATTATTTTGATAATTAAATTTGTTCAGTTTTAGTTTAACATTATTTCTTGATAAAAAATATCATTATTTTATTTCAAATAAAGTGAAGAATATATACTATTATTTAAGAATTATTTTGCTGATTTGTGATTGTTGTATGATTGTATGCTTAGTATATGATTATTATTTTGTTGATTTTTCATATTCTCCATGATTTTAAGCTGGATCATCTATTTGTACATTATTTAAGAACTGATTTTCATGCTCTCCATATATAACTTTAGATTGAATCATTAGTTTTAATAAACAATCTTAGTGATTTAATTGATGATCTGTTATTTTATTATTTTCCATTATTATAGGATGTTACTAGGTATTATAATAAATATCTTTAATAATATTCATGTATTTGAAAATTTTCAGTGAAATTATAATTGCTCATAGAGAAAAAGATCAAACCAAACAAATTCCTGGGACAATACATAGTTAGGTTTATATTTAGTTTAGTAATATTAACTATACTTTATCCAAATATATATTTGTTAGTATATTTGGGATAACTAATAAATATATATTAATAAATTCTACCAAGAATATCATAATTAATTTTATCCTTTTTGGTTGCTTCTAATGCTTTATTGCCATTTTTTTAATAAACAACATTATTTGATTTTAAATCCAAATTATATAATAGTAGTTTGGTTATTATAAGAGAACATTCTGATACAAAACATAATTTACTGCATTAATTGTCAATATGAATACTAAAGCTGTACACTTTATAGATTTCATATATGCTAAAAAACAAAATTGGACAGTAATTTGATACTCTTTAAAAGAAAAGAATAAAAATCATATAAATAGAGCCCTTCATCAATAACTAGAAAATCACAGCAACATATTTTCTTCTCAACAGAAATAAAACTAGGAAAATTACAATGGATATCACAAAAATCTCAATCACCCTTTTCTTGGTAATGACATTGGCAATTTCATCCAACTGTGAAGTTCTGGCCGCATCAAGTATAATCATTCTTCCCAAAAACATTACTTTATTATTATTATTTTTTATCTTTCAACAAATTGAAACTAGTACTTTTTTTTATATATATATATATATATAGATAGATACATATATATATATATATGATAGAATTTGCGATAAAAATTTATATGGACGTGTAAGAACTTTGATTTTCCAAAAGAAGAACAACTATTATTTGGATATGGTATATATGATTATTATAAACTTAACATTGGTTGTTTATAGGTGAAGTCAGTAAAACAACGAACAATGGAGAATGCATTTATGATGAGCTTTGTAAGATGGGAAAGTCCGGAGATCATGAATGCTTCGTTAAGTGTTCTAATAAGAATAAGAAGTACACAGGAGGAAAATGTATTCCAAAAAATCCAGAAAATGGATATTGTTGTTGCACTATATAAATAATGTTGTTTTAGTGTCATGTTGTTTAAAAAAATATTTTTATTAATGGTTGGTTCTCAACTATTATGGGTTTTTCATTCAGTTAAAATATAAAAAGAAAACAATTTATCATAACAGTTATTACATGAGTCTCCCAAAATTTATTGGGTTCGTTCTTTCTTTCTTTTTTTTTTTTTTTGGAACAGGTTCGGTCTTTCTTAGATCATTGTTTCTTGCGGCTAAATGTTTAGCTGGGTGTTTAGTTTGTTGTGAAATTTGTCTGATATTAAATGAAGCAAGCTTGGTAGCTTCATCATAAGAGTTCTTGGTATCTTTTGGTATACAAAACAAGTCAGTGATTATAGTACTAAGAAACATAACTGAACCATGTCTATACAGTCATAGCCACAGACTGATATGTAAACCAAACCACGTATAAACATATGCATAAAGCTTCAGCATCAAATAAACATGTTCTTAAATAATCACATGGATGATTGTGAAAAAAAAAATCACATGGACGGAAGATCCAAATCAAAGAATTATCTTACACACAGTCACAACTCTGTATCGGGTAAAACAATCTATGATTGTCATTACAAGACACCTCATTATTCTGTAAGAAAATACTTCCTCTGTTTCTAAATAAGTGTAACTTTAGCCATTTAATTTTGTTTCAAAAAAGTGTCATTCTACAATCGCAATGTAATACATTAAATCTATCTTTTACCCTTTTGAATAACCAATAGTATTTTACTTAAATTATTTTCATTTAATTAAACATACATTAAATAGAGATATATTAGTCTATTATACAATTTTCTTAATTTATGTGCAAAGAGTCAAAATGACACTTATTTAAAAACAGAAGGAGTATTAAGAATCAAGTCCAAAACCAAACCCATGACAGAGAAGTAAAATGAGTCAGTGTAAATAATATTGAAGAAGAGAAATAAAAGAATACTCTTCAAACCACCAACAAATTGACTGACCACATAAAACCATCAGTGTAAACTGAATTGCAGGAGTATGTAGTAAAGAATCTTTGAGATGTTTTTGCATTGGTGTAGGAGTTTCTAGAACAAGCCGAATTTCTTCTTAAGATTAAGAAGAGCTTGCTTCCAACGAGGCAAGTGGTTAAATGCTTCTTTCTCCTCAGGTAGATAAGCCTTTGACCGCATATATAAAATGATGATTCACTAAATCTAATTGAGACTATTTCTGTTTATTTTGTGACTTTTAACATCACTCTATGTGACTTTTTTTCTGTTGTTCGACTGTGTAGTGATGATTCACTAAATCTAATTGAGACTATTTCTGTTTATTTTGTGACTTTTAACATCACTCTATGTGACTTTTTTTCTGTTGTTCGACTGTGTAGTGAAGGTTATATCGACGCATTTAAGTTCCATCTTGAATTCACTGTCATCTTCCTTAGAAGAATTACAATTTTTATCATGTATTGTTGTAGTTTATGATTTCTACCAAAGAGGATGAATAAATTCATCTAACTTTTGTAATCAATCAAACTGAATGTAATGAAAATAAGTTGTATTTAAAAATGGCTATAAAGATGTTGCTAAAATTAAACCAGAGAGTATAAATTGTATGATGTAAAAAAGAAACGTTCGTTTATAGTAACCCCGACCGACTTAAAATATTTGACCGTATGTAATTTTTTTTTTGGGTCAAATGACAGTATATATTTTATTTATGAATTCACACAAAATAAAGAGAAGCATCCCATACATGCAATGAATTCACATAAAATCTGGAGAACCATGCCATACATGCAAAATGTACAAATATATAAAAGTCAAAAGATTTTTTCCCCAAAAAAAATTATCAGCAAATATGAAAGATTCGTATATGATAAAAAAATATAACAAAATTGGATAGTAATTGGCAAGTTTTCAAAAGAAGAGAATGAAAATCATATAAATAGAACCATTCATCAATAGCTAGAAAATCACAGTTACATATTTTCTTCTCAATAGAAATATCACTACGAAAATTGAAATGGATATCACAAAAATCTCAATCACCCTTTTCTTGGTGATATCATTGGCGATTTCGTCCAACTGTGAAGTTCTGGCTGCATCAAGTATAATCATTCTATCTAAAACAAAATTCTTTACTTTTTATTAATGTTTTGTATCTTTGAACATTTTGAAAGCAGTACTTAGCCACCTTAAAGTTTTTTTATTAAAGAACATATATATATATATATATATGAATAACCATTTGTATGGATGTGTAAGAACTTTGACATAAAAAAAAACTATTATTTGGATATGTGATATCTGATTATAATTTTAACCTTGGTTTGTTTATAGGTGAAGTGAGTAAGACTGCAAACTATGGAGAATGCATTTATGACGAGCTCTGTGAGATGGGAAAGTCCGGAACTCATGATTGCTTTGTTAAGTGTTCTAAGAAGAATAAGATATACACAGGAGGAAAATGTATTCCAAAAAATCCAGAATATGGATATTGTTGTTGCACCTTTTAAATAATGTTTTTTTATTATCACGTTTTAATCATGTTTTTTGAAACGTATTTCCTCATTGTTGTTCATCAACTATAATGGGTATAATCCATTCGGTGAAAATATAAATCCTAGTATTTATCATATAATTTATTCCATGAAGTGTCTCCTCAAATTTATTGGGTTCTAACTTTCTTGGGTGTTTAGTTTGTTGTGAAGTTTGTATGATGATAAAACTAGTCCGAGTGGCTGTAGTACTAAGGAACATAACTGAACCATGTCTAAATGTCTATACAGAAAATACAGTCATTGTCACAGACTGATACACAAACCAGACCACTTATAAACATATGCATAAAGCTTCAGCATCAAATAAACATGTTCTTAAATAATCACAACGATGGAAGATCCAACTCAAAGAATCATCTTACCCACAGTCACAAATTTGTCTCGGGTAAAACAATCTATGATCGTCATTACAAGACACCTTATTATTCTCTAAAAACAATATTAAGAATCAAGTCCAAAACCAAACCCATGACAGAGAAGTAAAATGAGCCAACGAGTTGAATGCTTCTTTCTCCATTTCAGACACACTTTGGAACTCTTCCTCAGATAGATAAGCCTTTGACCACAGCAATAAAAAAAATGATTCACTGAATCTAATTGAGACTATTTCTGTTTATTTTGTGACTCTCAACATCACTTTATGTGACTATTTTTCTGTTGTTCGACTGTGTAGTGAAGGTTATATCGACATATCTAAGTTCCATCTTGAATTCGCTGTCATTTTCCTTAGAAGAATCACAATTTTTATCATGTATTGTTATTAGTTTATGCTTTCTACCAAAGAGAATAAGTAATTTCCTTTAGCTTTTGTAATCAATCAAACTGAATTTTAATGAAAATAAGTTGTATTTAAAAATGGGTATAAAGGTGTTGCTAAAATTAGACCAGAGAGTATAAACTCCGATACAGATTACGAAAAATGTTTGTATGATGTAAAAAGAAACGTTCGTATATAGTAAGTTAGTAACCCCGACATCAAATATTTGACCGTATGTATTTTTTT